TATATAATTATAATAATATAACTACATATCAATACGATATCGTAAATTAGGCTTAAAATAACATYATTGAGATACTAAAAAGCACGTAAATTAAGCAACGTCTTAGACCTAGCTAGAGGGATAGCTACAAGGAATGAATATCAACAACTGTTTCGATAATCAGTGCCAAAAATGATATTTGATCGTGCCTAGCCTAGCTTACATCATATAAAGTCATAGGTTTGAATTCGCCCCTAACTACTTTCGCTGCTCGAATCGCTGAGTCAGCGACGCTATATTCGTCGACGCCTTCACTGTGGGTGGTGTTGGTGCGGCCGCTGTCGTCGCAGACGTTGCGCCAGCCAGACGCTTCGGCAGTTCGCCGCTGAACGAAGGCTTCGCCGAGAGCGGCTTAGGCTTCTGTATGGTGGCCGAGGGCGCGGCTGCCACGCCATTGGGCAGTGGTTTAGCTGACTTGGTAAAGGACTTGGGACGCGCTCCTCCGCTGATGCGTGCCGGCTGCGCAGCTGCTGCTCTGCTGCCGGCGTTGCTGCTGCCGCCGCCGCTGTTACTATTCGTTTTGCTGCTGCTGCTGGCTGCATTTGCTGGCGCCGGCCTGAAGCTGGAAAATGCGCGCGATGGTGAGATGTCGGAGCGTGTAGGCGCCACACGCGCCACGGGCGCATTGATGGGAGGTGCACGCAGATATGTGGGTGTCACGGCCGGCTTCTCGTCAGCGCTGGTCGAGCTGCTGTTTCTGTTGCTGCCCGCCGGCCGCGGCGGTGCCGGACGCTGTGGACTTCGTGGCGCTTCCGGCTCGTCCACTGGCGGATCTAGTGCTGTGGTAGCCGTAGCAGCTGCTGCTGCTGCTGATACCTTTCCTGAGTAGATGGAGTCGCCGCCATTGAGTTTCTCAAACTCATTGACAATCTCACCCAGCAAACCCATATCGTCGCCTCCTCCTGCGCTGGCCAAGCTGGCCACCAGATCGCTGCGCTTCAGTGTTTGCGCTGCCGGCGGAATCTCGTCAATCACTGAGTAGATTGCATCGCTGGAGGCGCGCATTGGCGACTCCACGAACTCGCAGTCATCGTAGGTATTCTCCGTCGTCGTCTGGGCGGTAGCCACCGGCAGCTGATAGCCCGACGAGGTGGTTGAATTGGTTTTCTTGGTCACCGGCGGGGGTCGTGGTGGCGGGGACTTGGGCCGTGTGCCGGTGGAGTTGGCAGTGTTCACTGAACTCTTAGGCCGGGCTGCGCCGGGAGGCGAACGCATCGAACCAAACGTTTGCACCTGCGTCTTCTTGGTGGGCGAACGCATTGACTGGGTGCGCTTCACTAGGTTCTTGGTCTCCTCCTCGCGTGGTGTTGTCTCCGAGTCCGAGTTGGAGGACTCTGTCTGCAGCGGCAACGGCACTGCCGCCGGCATCGGTGCCGATATCTCCAATGTGCGCAGCCGCTCGCGATCAATGTAGGTCTTCTCTTTGAGCGGAGGCTTCTCCTCCTTCTTTAGGAACGAGGCAAAGCGACGGATGGTGCCGTCTCGCTTGATGTTCAGCTTGGGATCCGTGTGCAGCGGCACGGGTGGAGCGGGCGCCGACCGCGTGGGCGACAGATCCTCATCGCCGCCCTTCAGCGGTACCATGGTCAGCGTGCTGGAGTCCAGCTTGGGCTTCGATATGATAGGGCGTGCTGTCGAGCCGGGATTCGGCGGTGGCAGCGCAGGCGCTGCTCTGGGCAATGTGCTGGCCGCCTTTGTTGCGCTCTGCTCTGCCAGAGGCTTAACAACGGGTGGAGGCGGTGCCGCACGCTGTGGTACCCCATTGTTGTCCTGCTGCACCGTCGGCTGCACAAAGGCCACATTCGGTCCGCTGTAGTTGCTCGCCGGCGAGCTGGCACTGTTCAGCGGGCGCAATGTGAATCCCTTGAACTTGCCAAACATGCTCGTCGCATTCCCAGCTGCGGCTGCATCGCTCGAATCGCTGGGCGACTTCAGCAGCGCCGAGTTCATGTCATCCGTGCTGCTGGGCGTCGATTTCGGTAATCCATTGGGCCCGCCCGCGGGCGGCCCAGCTCCATTTTGATTGGAGCGCGTCGACGGCTGCTTGTGCCCGCTGGCGCTCTTCAAGCTGCAAAGACAACGCAATGGAATTAGCAAGCAGCTAAAGCAGAGTCAATAGATCTCTATAGAATTTGGGATATATATTAATATAGTGTGTGTGTGTGTATATATTGTGTATTGTATAACATACCAACAGAGACCAGTGCAGGGTCAAAGAAAGGCAGGCAATAATAGGAACCAACACCGAAAGAAGCAAGGCTAAATAAAGTTAACAGAGAGTAGTTAACATGCGCACGTTGTTAACATGCATTTAACAGCAAACGGTCTTAGGCTCTTACACAATGAGATTTACAACCAAAGTCGCTGTAAGCTGCATAGCTTAAGAGAGATTTTAACATGCAGTTAACAGCAACTTTACAGTGTTCTGCTTAAATGATAAAATGTAAAGCTAAATAAATCATATTTAGAAAATCAATAATTTACAAATTTTCTATATATATTATTAAACATAAAATGTAATACAAATTAGAAAATTAAAATTCACAAACTGTGATTAGTTATACAAGAAAACTTAACCATTTTATTGCAAGACAAACATAAACATAAGCAACACCAATAAATAGCATTAAAATCAAGTATTTATTAGGCACATATAAAAATAATAATAATAATAATAAAAATAATAATTAAATAAAGCAAACACCGATTAAAATTAGTTGAAACAAACACAAATGAAAATGGGTTGAAGGGAAATTGGAAAGCAAAAGAAAATGGTAAATCACGCCACATGCCGCAAGGAAGCTAATAGAAACTGTTGTCTGTTGTTTTTTGGGCAGTGTGTTTGTTATTGTTGTTGTTGTTATTATTATTGTTAGTATTTGGCACACCTCGCGGGCTCGCTTTTTATGTATTGGGCGCCCTCGGTGAGCGCCAAGGGATTTGTGGTGGCATGCAGACGCGGCGCCGTTATGTCCAGCTTGCGGCGCATTGTATTTGAATTACTATTGCCATTGTTGTTGTTGTTGCTGTTTGTGTTGTTTTTGTGCGGTGGCACGGGCGGTGGCACAGTGGCTGCTGCAACTGATGAAGCACTAGCCACAGCTGCATTGGAAAGCTTGCGCCGCAAATGAGGCGCATGCAGCGCCTCGTAGTGGCTCTGGCTCTTTGGCATCGCAGGCGGATGCACTGCAGCGAGTATGCCAGGACTGGACTTCAGGCGGGGCAGTGTGGCGTGTATATTAGTAATTGTTGCAGTGTTAGTAGTTTGTGTGTGGTTAAGTGGCGGTAGTGGTGGTGCTGGTGGTAGTGGTGGTAATGGTGGTAGTGGTGATGTGTTAACGTGCATTGGTTCTATTGGTGTAGGTGGCGGTGCAGACGTAGTACAATTGGCTGTGGCTGAACTAGCTGTGGAGCAGTAAGAAACGGCGGCGCAGCCTTTGCTGCTGCTGCTGCTGCTGTTTCTTTTGCTGCTGCTGTTGCTGCTGCTGCTGCCGCTGCGGCTGCGGCTGCTATTGCTACTGGACGTGGATGACGATACATACATATTCTCGGTTAGTTTTCCACTGGCGAAGAGCTTGTTCCGGATCGCAAAACGGTAGAACAAATAGAAGGAGACCAATATCGGCAGCACCGCGAAGAACAGGATGTACAGCAAGCGCTGTAGGCTGAGAGCACCTGAGCAAAGAAGAAGAAGGAGAAGAAGAAGAGTGAGATATGCCTCTACTTGAGCTGCTCCCTGCAGATAATACTTACTGCTCGGGTCTGTGGCTGGGCCGCTGTCCACGGAGCCTCCGTGCCCGACCTTGTTGCACGCCTCGCCGCCGAATCCCACGTCGCAGTGGCAGTGGCCGCGGCTGTTGCAGATGCCGTTGTCGTTGCAGTCCTCCGGGCAGCGCGCGCCCATGCCCATCTGGCGCACACGGTCCAGGGGCAGGCACTGCTGATTGACGCACATGCTCTGGTCGCCACACTTGGCGCCGTTCGGCGTCAGGCCGGGATCGGTGGTCTGCAGCCCGAGATCCACAAGGGCCGTGCGGCAGGCAACGATTTTGCGATCGTGACTGATGAAGGAGTGCGACAGCACCGCTGCCGACTCCATGCCAAACTCGAGGCGCTCGTTCAGGTGGTTGCAGTGCAGCATGCCACAGTGTATGTGCTGTGGTGCGCACTTGACGAACGTCTGGTTGAGCAGATTGTAGCCACAGTTGCCCAGGCGGGTGCCCTCCAGGTTCTTCTCGTAGCAGTGCACCGAGTTGTCGCCCGTGGGCCCCCACAGGATGCGGCACTGGTTGGTGTGGGAGCGGCATGTGCCCAGGAAACAGTACGCCTGATTGCCGTCACAGGGCTCGGTGTCACGGCGGAACACATCCGTCGGACAGTACTCCGACTCGCCGGTGCAGAACTCGGGCAAGTCGCATTCGTTCTCCGCCGGACGGCAAGTGCTGCCCGCCATCTTGGGTCGGCAGGTGTTTAAGTCGCAGCACTCGCCAGTGGCGCACGATGCATTCGTGTGCAGCATGCAGGTGACCGGATTGCAGCAGCTGTTCTCGCAGTGGGCGGGCAGCCCGCAATCGCACTGCTCGCCGGGCTCCACGAAGCCATTGCCGCACTGCGGCGAATCGAACAGGCGCGTGGGCTTGTTGCGCAGGCAGTAGTTCATGCCGCGCGAGAAGGCGATGGTCAGCTGATCGATGCTGCAGCTGCTCCAGTGCACCGGCACCACGGCCGAACTGGACGAGGCCATCACGCACTTCTCGTCGGGGCAGTGGCAGTCATTCGAATCGTGCTCCATGCCAAAATTGTGACCCATCTCGTGGGCCATGGTCGTGGCCACCACAGCCAACACCTGGCTATGCTGCACGCTCACACCGCCGGAGAACTCATAGGTGCAGATGGGTCCTTTGAGGGCCTTGCCCACGACGCTGCCGTTGAACGTCTCCTTGGTCAGCAGCTGGGCGTTGTCATTGGGATGATCCACCACCAGCTTCGACCTGCGATAGTTGAGGAAGTTGTGTAGCGTCACATCGCCATCGCTGGAGAACTCAATCTCATTCGACTCGTTCCAAATGACGACGCCCACGAGCGCTACAAAGATGTTCAGCGGCACATAGAGCTGCAGGTGGTTCAAGTGGTTTAGTGGCTTCACTAACTAAGAGATTAGCATTATTCGGCGGCTACTTACGGCATTCACAATGTTGGCCAGATCCTTGCAATGCTGATGGACTCGCTTGGCGTTCTCCCCGAAATGCTTGTACACCTTGTTGTCCACCACAATGACCAGCTCCACATAGCTGGAGTACTTGTTGGCATTGTACGGTCCACGTATCAGTTGACTCTCGTCCGTTTGGCGTCTCTTGCGTCTCAGCATGCGCTGGAATTCCCCGCCATCCAAGCGTTGCGGCACTGTGGGCTGTTCCACCTCATCCTCCTCCAGATTCTCGCCGGGCCAATTTTCATAACTGTCTTTGTGGCTGTCGTAGCCACAGGTGGCATTCTGCTGCAGCATATCGGCGTGCCTAAATAAACCGAAATATCGCTGGTAATTTAATACTTCCGTGGCTAAAAATTAATAACGGAAGTGAGCCTTAGATGGCCTGGGTATGCCATGGCCCATGAGGCAACATGGGCAAACCAATAAAAAACACATATTTATTGAACGCAAATAAGGCAAACATTGCGGCAGGCCACTGCCCAAACCAGACCCAGCTCCAACTCCGCTCACGCTGCATGGCTCAAGACACAGCAGAGTAAATATGGGCTCGGATAAGCGCCGTCTACTTAGATATGTGTGCGTGATATTTGCTCATTCACGCGAACGTCTCTGAGTAAATACGATAGCCCAGGAGAGATACGCGAAGAATGGAAGCAGAAGTGAATAGATCACATTCGAAATGGACTTTAATATGTGTTCGAACTCGAAAATAAGAGCTGCGCATATAAAATTACGATTGTATTGCAGACACGCTGTTAACAGGCGCACTGTTAAGCCCTATGTTATCAATTGCCAACTGCTGCTATACAGCGCTGCTCAACTGAATAGGTATGAAAGCTTACAAATACCTCAATTTAAATGAAATATACATATTTTTATGTATAAAAAAATGAATAAATTATGATCAAGAATTTCAAGTCTGTAAATGGTAATATTATATGATTTTTACCATGAGACATTTTCTTATAATTTTCAATTTCATATATAAGTATATGCCATTCTTTTTCATCTAAATAGATTTTTTAACCTTGACATTAGTTTTCAATCGATGATTGTAAAGAGTCAATTTTTGGTTATTCTAATGCTTAAAGCAATTGTTGCGATAATTCTTCAAAGCGAATTCTGACTAATAAGGCATCTCCCTCGTAAAGCTCATCTCGAATAGGAAAGCACATTTCTTAGCTGACTCGCAATTTATCAAGGTACCACTCACCTGAGCAGATAGTGGTCATCCTGCAGCCGTCCGCTGGCCTTGCCATGTGGGTGTATGAAGTACGTGTGCTGGCCATCGAAGACTACGCCGTTGAGGCCGCCGTGGCAGGTGGAGAGGGCCACGCTCGAGTCCGGCTGGCCACGTATGTGTCCCTGCGTAGGCACAGAATGTGGTTAAATAAGAAAAACAGAAATAACCAAAAAAGAGCCAAACTGCCGTAACTGCAGCGCCTGCTCACCTGATAATGACATAAATCAACGTCAGTCTTGGTAAAATTGCGCACCACGTAGCCGGCGGCGCCGTCCTCCCGATTGCTGGCGTTCTGGTACCGCAGGAAGTGGGCGTCGGGCAGTAGGCGATCGTTGCGCTGCAGTTCGATTTGGATGCGTTGTCCTTGATGCGTGTACTTCAGCGTTAACTGCGGCGCGTGCAGTCCGTCCTGGAACGCAGAGAGCAGATAGCAGCGGATTAAAGCATTAAACAGATTTCCATATTTCAACGGTCTGCTCCACATTCAATGTAATCCTCGCACGCCAAGTTAAGCCTGGACACACACGCCACACAGTCCAAACTGCGCCCACACAAACAATTTCTAGGTGCGAACGTGTCAAATTCTGCCTCCCATGGCGCGCGCCGGGCCACGCGTGGAAACTAATTAAAAAGGGTTTTGTTGGCCGGTTCCCGTTTTTGCCATTTTCCCCATTTTTTTGCCCTTGTTTTTTTTTTTTTTATTATTTCTGGCACGCCCAGCGGCCCACCCAGTGGCCCACGCAGCCAACGGCTCGCAGTGGCATGTCAAATTGTTCGCTCTACAATTTTTGCTTAATTTTGTTGGCCGTTCGACTAACTTTTATTCACTTAGGCGGCCGGCCTCGCTTTTTTGCCATTTTATCAGGCCGGGCTAATTACAAGCGGCCTGCAATGAGCCAAGTTCGTGTCAACGGCCACTCAATGCTTATGACATTTCAAACGGCCGCTCAAATTGCTTAATTAAAAAACTCCCAACTTAGTTACGCTAACTTGCCTTAAACTGTCCATCAGCTCCAGAGCAGAGACACGCTTTAGTTGTAATTCTATTTAAGCTTTCTTGTTTTGCTTCTCATTTGTCTAGCATTTGCTTCTTGCTTTCTTCTCAACCTGAACTCATTGCATTAATTATTGTTTTGCTTCTCATGTGATATTGCTCCTAGCTGCCTTCCTTACTTATAACTTGTTTCGCTTTCTTACGTTTACAGAATTTGATTATCAAATTTCTTCCTGCTTTACTTTTCTTTCCATGCATTAATTCTCAATTTAATTCTTACTCTGTTGCTTATTCGCTTCATTTCGTTTCTGGTTTTTATTTAAGTAAAGCAAGAGCCACTTTATAATTTGCTTCTCACTTTGCTTCTCTCTTACTTAAATTCTCAATTTGTCATTCCTTGCCTCATTGCTTGACTTGCTTCTCACTTTATTTGTTATTTCTGCTGCTCACTTTGTCCCTTAACTCATTTCTTAATTTATCTCAGCTTCTCTCAGTTCTTCTCATTTTGCTGTTTGCCTTGATCTCTACTTGTTGCTTTTATTTGGTTTGCCTCTTCTTGGTTCTCTCTTTATTTTCATACTTATTTCACAATTTAACTTTCTCTCTCTTTGTTTCTACTCTCACTTCATTTACTTCCTTTGCTTCTCCCAAGGGGATTTTCACGTTTCCATGAATTTGTTTCGCCCTCAGCTATTGTTAAGCTATTTGTTGTTCAGTTTAGTCTTTTATTTTTTACTTCCTATTATTTTAAATTCTTTAATTATTTTAAATTCGTTAATTTCTAAATTCTTTCGCGAGCTTTTAATAATTTTATCTATGCTTCTTAACCTGCTTTTCTCTCTGGCTTTTCAGTAGGATCTTCTGGTGAATTAGAGATACTTTCTTTTTTGTTCACTCTTCTTTGTGAGTTGACCCAGATGCGGCCTCAGTTGGCGTTCATAATTATAATTTCCAGCTAGCACGGAGTCCCACACTTACCGATGCATCCAGAGTGCTCTGCAGGGCGCGCTTAGTGCGTCCATGATGCACTTGGGGGCGTATCACAGTGTGAGTTGAAAACTCATTAAGGGCAGGAAAATAGTCACCAATGTGTGCTGGAAACAGAAAGAAAAGGTAAGTATAAATATGCCAAAATGATTACCAGTCAAACAGTTGTAATTAGACCAAAAACACATTGTTCAACATTGCTGTGTATTATATCTGAGCGTGTATATCTGGTCTATCCAAGGGGGCACACCCAGTTAGCTACAACTACAACAACGACAATGACAATGACAACGACAATGACAAATCCGCTGTGAGTGAAACACTCTGGCCCTGACTGAAAGGTGTCTCAAATGGGCTTAAGTTCCAAACTCAAAACGCTGACAACTTGAGCCCATAATTAAAAGCAAAGAAAAAGCGAAATGCCAACACAGTCTCATAATCATTTAACGTGTTTACATAGATGGACAGATGCCCGATAAGATGCAACAATGTACAAAGCACATGCATAAGTATCCGATAGATATTCATAAGTATCATCGAGCAGCAGCAACAGCAGCCGCAGCAGCTTGACAAGCATCTCTCTTACTGTCAGATGACTGAAGTGTGATATATGGCCGTGAGCAGCGCTAAAATTAGCAAGTTCATAAATTAAGTATGTGCGATACAGAATTAGGTCTACTCAGAATAAGTATGTATATATCTATATATGTATGTATATATAAAGAACTGTTGTCGAGGCCTTGCTGTAATGTGAAAACACGTCTAATTAATGCAGACCAGCAGACAACGGTGTTGTCAGACATGCAGCAGCTTTAGCTTTTGTGTCTTGCGGATACATTTTAAGGCATTTCGCACATGCGTGGGCTCACACATACAAGAAACTCACACACACACACGCACACAGTGGCACAATCACAGATGAGCGGTACAAGTGGCCTCTCACATGGCAGTAAAATGAAAACAAAAAATAAAACAATAAGACTCGGCATTTGGGGGAGCCCAAAAAAGAATTTTCTTTCAATTTTAGCCATTGCTGCTAAGTCCAGACCTCTGGAGAGAGCAAGCCAAAGTGTCGCAGCATCACCAGCATCAGCATCAACGGTTTCTCCACATGCACAAAAGCCAGAGACGCTTACCAAATGTCACACGCGTCAGGGCTTTTTGTCTTACACGATGCCCCCAAAAATATATTTAAAAACATCATTTTTAATACCCTCTCGAAATGGCATTATTATTGACATCATAAACTTTTGAATGGATTGACACTATCTCATAAAGTATATTTATTCTTGACAAAAGAGAAGTTAGATCCGAAAACTTTCCTCTTTTATCCATTAATTATAAGAATTAATCCGTTTCGCTCGGATTAGCTTACTAATTATTAAATTCCCTTAGAAGAAGTACACAAAGATATAGATAGAAGAATTACACATCAATTCCAACATATTTTATAAAATGACTTGGTCAAGTGTATTTAAACTTCGATCTGATGAAAATAATCGGTTTTACTTGTTCGTGCTCGTGTTCTTGTTTTAAATATATTTTTATAACACGAAACGTTTAACGCACAATGCACGAAGAGCTCGCAAATTGAATTCTTTTTGCTTATAAGCAGAAATTCGCATCTTTTGTGCGGCATTTCTTTTTTTCTGTTGGCCTTGTCAGTGCAGGACGCCATTGGAGAAGCCAGCATTAAGAACTGTTAAGCATGGCCATGATGAACGGTACTCAAACGAAAGGCTAATCAATTTTACATAATTCAAGTCTTGCAGTTGAAGAGCCGTATAAATCATTAAAGTGAAAGGACATGAGCTCAAAACCGGATAAGAATGAGTAATAATATATAAAATATAAGTATAAGTATAAGTATAAGTATAAGTATAAGTATAAGTATAAGTACAAGTACAAGTACAAGTACAAGTATAAGTATAAGTATAAGTATAAGTATAAGTATAAGTATAAGTATAAGTATAAGTATAAGTATAAGTATAAGTATAAGTATAAGTATAAGTATAAATATAAGTCTAAGTATAAGTATAAGTATAAGTACAAGTATAATTATAGGTATAAGTATAAATATAATTAGTATAGGTAAACACTTCGAATCGAGGTTTGTTCTAAGAGTGAAAGGTAATCGAGCAGGAAATTAGATTATAAATTGCTCACATCTGTTGTTAAACACCCTTGCCATATCTCACACGCTCGATTGTATTTATAATGAATGTGTCTCTGAGGAATTCGATATATTTGCAAATTCCGCCAATAAATATTGTATGTATATATATTGAAAAGTTGTTTAGAAATTCACCATTTGGCACGAGCATTTGTTTGGTTTGGGCGTAATTGGATTCCAAATATAAGAAATGTATTTCTAAGAATGAAAATCATATTGAAACATATGTACAGCCATATGCCAGAAGTTGTGGATGTGTAATTAATCGGCAGTGACTAATCAATGCTTTAAGAGCAGCGCTAATGACTTGCAGACGAAATGCAGCATTGCCCCTTGGGATATCCCAAGAAATATAGTAAATCATGAGAGCAAGACGAAATGTAGTCAAACTCTTGAGAAACTAATTAGTCCAAACAAAAAATCTAATGATTGATAGCTTTGACGACTAATGGGCTGCTTTTGCCGTAATGCTCTATCGCCCTAAAAGGGAGCAATTCATTCACAAATATTGTCGATGAGCAACAGATAGTTGGAGCAGTCTGATTAGTTATGGGGTTTCTCTCATTGCCAACTACTTTTGAAATATTAACTAAAGTCTGTTGCCCAAGTGTTGCGGCTTATGGTATCTCAAAAATAGCTTCAAAATGAGTTATCAATTTTGATAAGCGACGATTGATAAGCAGTGCTCAGGCATGCAAACATATGCAGTCATAAAACCCAAATAGATAGAAATGCCGTTATGCATACTATATATATATCTGTCGGCATATTTAACTAGGGTTAACAATATGGGGAATGCGAAATGTGTAGTCGTAAATGCAGCAGAAGAGTTAAGAGCAAGCGGCGCCAGGAGGCGTTACAAGGACCTTTTGTAGTGGAAAATCATTAAAACTAGAACACAACAAACACACACACATACACACACAAGCACACTCATAAACGCAAACAGCTGGAAATTATCACATGCTGCGCTGCGAGCTGAGCTCGGGGCCTGAACATATGTTGCAACAGGGTTACAGACAGAGAGAGAGAGTGAGGAAACTGTCTATGGGTCTAGGACGAGGCGTTGTCTAGGCGCGCGTCCATCAGCGACGCCGGTCATGTAGATGAAATTGAAGGTCTAAATATAAAAATCCAAATGAGTAAAATAAACCCTAGACGCGCTTTTTGACGTTTTGACGAACTCATGTCGTCGCGCACTTTGATGTCAATGATGTTGCCGACAGATGACGATGATGATGACGATGATGCCCAGGATGATGATGCAGGATTATTGGTATGCAGCAGGATGGTTTGCGTCAACAGCTCAGCAGCGTTGACTTTATTTGTTTGCCTCTCAGGCTTTTACTATCGCTCATAGGCGTCAGATCAACGGGTGAATCTCAATTGATTTCACATGCAAATCCCCAGCGGCCATCACTTGTCGCCCCGCTTAAGTCTAGCCTAGGAATAGAGTATAGTTGCTTGATCTGAATCCCTCTCTCTTTCCCTTCGCTCTCGCTCGTATAACAATCAACAGCGGCAAATAAAATTTATATTTATAGCTCGCAGTGACATAAAAAATGAATCGACATTAAAAAAAATACGATGCGATACTTGAGCTGGTGACAAAATTGAGAATGTGATGGCTGAGCCAATTGACAAACTGTGCCCATATACAAGTATGCATATATAAACATATATTCCCTAGCTGTATTCCGAATGGTTACGAAAGGCCAATTAAAATGGCACTCGATACAAGACTTTCAATTTGAATATATTCCATTCGAATGATGAAAAATGTGAACGCTTCAAGTGGCGACGACGAGGAGGAGCCGAAGAGGGATAGGGTAGCGCAAAGCATTTGTTAATCATAGCCAAAGGCATTCAATATTAATGCCCAAATGTTGGAGAAATTATGATATGCCAGCGAAAAAATGTTAAACTCAATTAGAAATGCTCCATTTGGGGTAAGTTGCCGCCTGCAGAGCTCCATAAAATTTGTAACACTTCACGGTAGAGTTTCACGCGGGACCGTGCCGCGGTAGTGCATCAAAATATTAATAGAATCCTCGAAAGCAGGGCATAAATATTACACAAAAAGCTGCCAAGCTCCATAAACAGATTAGTGGGCATAGCGCCCAGGGGCGGGGCACTGGATGGAGAAGTTGCAGTTGCAGTTGCCGAGTGGAAAAGTAGAAAAGTAGAAAAGGGCCGCACGACTCACAGATATATTTCAAATGCATTACGAATGCATTTCGTGAACATATTCCAAAAAACAAATTTATATATATATATATATGTGTGCCTAATTGATAAACAAGACGAAGACAAAGTTGAATTTCAAAGACGAAAGAAATATAAAAGTCTTGAGGCAGACAACATTTCCCATATACCAGAATGTACTCCTCTGTGTACACATTTTGCTCGAAACTCAGTTTGAAGTTTTCCAACTTTGTGCCTGCGCATAATTGAATAATCAAGAAACATTTTCAATTGTTTTGGTTGAGGGCAACGCTAAGCGTTTTACCGAAACCCAAAAGCCAGCGAAACGCAACGCAATAAAAATTAAAAACAAACCCCCAAGACAACAAGGAAAGCAACGAATTAATGCCACGCACACACACACACACACTTTCATACGCTCGTAGATATATACATATATATTTATGTATACGCCTATCACATCTGAGCATCGTACATCACAATTCAATTAAACTGTTTGCACTTGCCTGAGCGGGGAATCTGGGTAAGAATTTTTAATCCAATCACCAACATAAATAAACAATTTATGAAAATAAATATTTATGTATATGAGATGGTTCATAAAGTATTTAATTTAAATGATGCCGAGGGAAGATGACAGATTATGAATAAAATATTCTTTAAATTCTGCTAATCGAAGTGGTTAGTTATGAACTGGATTTAGATAGGTGAACTTTTGAAATAATTGCC